ATTTAACTCATTCATCGTTTTAATTATGTATCAAATCTCACCAAACTGTAACTTTTAAAATCATCAGCATTTTTCTGCTGATAAATAAATCTAAGATGTTGCTTAATATATATCTGAAATTGGATACACACACACAATTTTATTTATACACACACACACACACACACACAGACATTCATATCGTACAGGACTTTATTCACTGCACCAAGAGTTTGCTAAAACAATCTTGGTTAGTATACATATTCCCAAGAAGCCCTACAGTGGATTGAAGATATTACCATAGAGATCTCTACAGCAACTTGGTGAAATTAAGCCAATTATGTTTTTATAATACCTGAAAACACCTGGTGACCTCCCAAGAGCACACATAGCCCTGTATCATAAATGTAATATACACTGCAAATTAAAATTTATATTAAGTTGAGTTGCATTCAGCATGAAAGAAGAAATAAGTGCAGCTAGCAAAGCAAAAATACATTTTAGAGATGTTTTAAGGAAGGTGTGAACATGATTTGGTCATCCTTTGAGATTCTACTCATTTTTAAAAATAAACTCAATTTTATTTAATGTTGGGGTCTCATGAAGTCCGTCAGATTTTTTGGTCTTTATGGGATCTTGACACCTGTATGTTTCCTCTCTAGTTTATGTGATGGCCAGAAAAATGTTTAAGTTATGTAATGGTCCTCATAAAGAAAAAAGTGAGGAACAGTTGTTATAGGTAACCACCATTTTAATGAACGGTCTGTAAAGTTTCTTGCACAGAAATGACTGTGGTTATCATTCTGACAAGTAAAAAAATTAAAGATGTCTTCTAGTTGACCTAGACTCCTGATGATTACATGAATATTCACCTGGCACCAGTACAAAAATGTTTTGCCACTGCATTTTTCCAGGACATTCTTCAATTACCCAATCTAGCCTAGAGCCTCATATTACCTGCTTATCTTTCATACCAGTCTAACCAGGGTTAATCCTATTTAGCTTCTAAGTCGAGACAAGATCAGCCAGGTGCTGTCATCCTCTGAGACTGCCTGATAAGTAGAAACATTCAAAGTCAAAACGCTCTAACTCTCAAATTCTACAATCCCATCTCCAGCCATTCCAACCTCACTGGAAGTATTCTCTCATCAGAATGGACTATTCTATTTAACTGACCCAACTTTGAAACACACTGCTTCAATTGTAAAACATAGGTTGTAACAGTCCATTACATGTAGAATGGTCTCTTTCAGAGCACTTCCAAACAAGTTGCAGCAGGAAAGCAGAATATTTAGACCTCAAAATACTATACACCCCTCTTTCAACAACCTTCATTGGGAAACAGGTTGGTGGTACAAACTAATTCTCTTTTTACTTCTCACAGCCTTCAAGAACATCAATCAAGTAGCTTTGTGGGACAGGAGAATAGTTTTGCAGGTTCTGTTCCTTTCTCAGTAGACAATTATAGTACATGATATAAAAATGAATCTTTTCTGTTTCCATGAAATACTGGGAGTACTGATTGGGAATTATAGAAAGAGCTGTTATTAATAAATGGATGATACTCAACTTTTTTCTACTAAAACTGGGTAAAATGGCTGAGTAACATCCTGAAGTCATTAACAGGGTAAAAGTGAATACAATCCAGGCAATTCAGAGTTAATTTTACTGTGGCCCCAGGAGAAATGTTTGCACCTTACATGCTAAGAATTTTGTGATGCTTACAGATACACTAGATTTATTATAATTATGTGTCCATAGCTCTGGATATTGCTTTCAATAATGTCACATTTTCAATTAAGAGAGGACATTCATCAAGGGATATTCCTAGCTTCTAAACTGAGAGCAATCTCTTTTAATTGATGTGATCTGCTTTGGAGAGATTTTTAAAAAATATGTTTATTTAAAGTCAGATGAAACTCTGCAGGACACATCTGTGCCAGAGAACAATCCTCAACCTACAAAACTATTTTCTGGAACAAAAACTAAAGACAGGAGTAAAATCACCCTATCCTCCTGCCATCCACCTCAAATTTAAGGGACAGTCCAGAAAAAGATAATTATCAATGGTATTAAAACCTACTTAAGGTTCAAGACAAATAAGTTGCCATCCTACTTGCTTGTCTCCCAATTTAACTCATTCATCAAGATAATCCAGGTCAAAATTGGGCCTACAACAGGACTCAAATGTTTCTTTGCTATGGCAAAATCCAGAAACAAAAATCTGTGAGCGGCTCATCTTTCATCAGTGTCAGGATTATCTTTTTCATTAATCCTGGATATGTAGAACTTTCACTATCTGAGATTTGTCAAATCCAGGAGCTTCATTGATTTAAGATCGCAGCTAGGCTTTTTGGATTTTTAATCCTTAAAAGACACTATGATATTTGTGGAGTTGGATCCCATTATTATTAATGTTCTTATTGTTTTAATTACTATTCTTATATTTTATCGTTCCCTGCTTTGATAAACACTGAGCTGCAGGAAGAACCGATGCCATTCAGTAGCACAAGGCCAGAAATAACCAATATAAGAATTTAAGCTGTTTTCTTATGAAATAATAATGGAAGTAGCATTTCATGTAAAATGAATTTCTAATACAATTAAACAAATAAAAAACATACACCGTCAAAAAACATACTGAACATGGAACAAATTAAAAGGTATTTTAACTTGATATACAAAATTTTACTGCTCAATCAATATATAGCACATGATTAATATATCTTGGATACATTATAATTATTAAAGCTTAAATATAATTATTTAAGCAAGGCATACTTCAGGAGTTTTTGAAGTCTAATGTAATCTCAGCAAATGTTACATGGTAGATCATTATAACATGAAACATTAAAACTTTTTAAAACTGAGGATGTATCTTAGAACTTATTACCTTTCAGGCAGTGGTAACTGTTGCTTTGCTTGAATGGCTTTGATTAATTCATCAAAATACTCTGGCTTCATAATTGGTCGGCCACAAATCAGTGCACATATTGTCTACAAATCAAGCAGGAAATTTTTAACAATAATTCATAGTACTACAAAACATGTAGTCTCTCTGATTTTAATTCAGGTTCCTCAGCCTAGTATAAATCTTGCTGTTTCTAAACTCATTCATTGTTTGATGATATTCTAAATTCAGATTCCCTTACAAAAGGAACAGGAGTCCTATAACCAAATTCTACAATCATTGCAGAACAATTTGCACTGTTTTATTATTACTTCCTCCAGTCAGTACAGTGGGGCAAAAAAGTATTTAGTCAGCCACCAATTGCAAGTTCTCCCACTTAAAAAGATGAGAGAGGCCTGTAATTTTCATCATAGGTATACCTCAACTATGAGAGACAAAATGGGGAAAAAAATCCAGAAAATCACATTGTCTGATTTTTAAAGAATTTATTTGCAAATCATGGTGGAAAATAAGTATTTGGTCACGGTATACCTCAACTATGAGAGACAAAATGGGGAAAAAAATCCAGAAAATCACATTGTCTGATTTTTAAAGAATTTATTTGCAAATCATGGTGGAAAATAAGTATTTGGTCACGGTATACCTCAACTATGAGAGACAAAATGGGGAAAAAAATCCAGAAAATCACATTGTCTGATTTTTAAAGAATTTATTTGCAAATCATGGTGGAAAATAAGTATTTGGTCAATATCAAAAGTTCATCTCAATACTTTGTTATATATCGGTATACCTCAACTATGAGAGACAAAATGGGGAAAAAAATCCAGAAAATCACATTGTCTGATTTTTAAAGAATTTATTTGCAAATCATGGTGGAAAATAAGTATTTGGTCAATATCAAAAGTTCATCTCAATACTTTGTTATATATCGGTATACCTCAACTATGAGAGACAAAATGGGGAAAAAAATCCAGAAAATCACATTGTCTGATTTTTAAAGAATTTATTTGCAAATCATGGTGGAAAATAAGTATTTGGTCAATATCAAAAGTTCATCTCAATACTTTGTTATATATCGGTATACCTCAACTATGAGAGACAAAATGGGGAAAAAAATCCAGAAAATCACATTGTCTGATTTTTAAAGAATTTATTTGCAAATCATGGTGGAAAATAAGTATTTGGTCAATATCAAAAGTTCATCTCAATATGACCAAATACTTATTTTCCACCATGATTTGCAAATAAATTCTTTAAAAATCAGACAATGTGATTTTCTGGATTTTTTTCCCCATTTTGTCTCTCATAGTTGAGGTATACCTATGATGAAAATTACAGGCCTCTCTCATCTTTTTAAGTGGGAGAACTTGCACAATTGGTGGCTGACTAAATACTTTTTTGCCCCACTGTATCTTAATTTTAAAATATAGCAGCAAATTCTGCTACAAAAGGACTCCCACCAATACAGACAGTCCCAGGTTAGAGACCACAATTGGGAATGGCAACTCAGTCATTAAGTGAAGGTTGCTAGGTGAAACCATGACTGTGCTTATGATCTTATTTCAGCTTTCCTTTGCTTTACAGACCTGCAAAGGTCATAAATGTGAGGATTGGTCACAAAATTACTTTTTCATTACCATCATAACTGCAAACAGTCACTAAATGAGGCAGTCGCTAAATAAGTACTACTTGCATTTTCAGTTATCACTGTTATCACTGTGGGTTTTCTGGAAAATGTTGAATTGGAAAATTTTCCCAAAAAAGTTTTGGAACATGTTTTTATGCAAACAAGTATGATTCAAATTAGCATACAGGTAGTCCTGGGCTACATCCCTAATTGGGACCAGAATTTCCATTGCTAAGCAAAGCAGTCGTTAAGCAAAACATGTGATTGCACCGCTTAGCAACAGCAGTCTCGATTGCAGCCATTAAGCCGGGACTGCATGGTTGTTAGGCAAGCACCTCACACTTCTCCTGCCCTGCATGAACTCCCCCCACCTATCTCCCCTCATCTCTGCCCTTTTAGCCACCCTGCACTCTGTTACCTATCCCTGCTGCCTCCCGTCGCAGCCACCCCACTGCTGACCTTCATCGGCTCTATCCCACACCTCTGATCTGAGAAAATCTGATCTTCTCTGTGATTTCTCCATTGGAAATGGTTTATATTAAGTTAGTTAATTGTATCCTTAATGTTCAAATGTTTATATATCCTAACATCCAGATATATCCAGTTCATCCAGAGAAATCATTTATTAAACAAAGAAGAGTGGCAGCTACTCTTTTTATTGAATGCCAAAAGTATTACTTTCCCTTCCCCTTCCTTACTGGATTACTAGGCATCTAAGCCTGCACTCCTATGCAGAGATGAACATATGGACCTACAGTGGTACCTCGGGTTACGAACGCCTCTGTTAATGAACTTTTCGGGTTACGACCAGCTCCGGCCACAAAAATTTATCTCAGTTTGCGAACTACGCCTCGGGTTACGACCCGGATCCGCGGCCATTTTCCCTGCTGCCATGCGGTCGCGGCTTCCTGTG